CATTAGATCTATAAGATATTGGTACTTTCCACAATCCTATACTCACCGGCGCAAAATAGGGCACCGGCACAAAATAGTGTTGCGTTCAGACACTGGGTAGTCCATGTACCCAAGTACCATACCAAGTCGACGCCTATCTCGAACCCGGACACGGGCACTGGGCCCGAATTTAGGTGTGAGGACTTCAGCTGTTAGTACTCGTGCGCCGTGCTCGGGCGCCAGGAGGGAACATAGCCAAGTCAAGTGCACGTGGCAATTGAACTTCGTGTCGTGCAATTTTGGTCTGAAATCATACGTGTGATTTCCAAATCGAACGAGCGCGCAGCGATAACTGTCAAATTCTTACGTATGCATTTAAATAAGCCTCACTTATTTCAAATTCGTTTGAATTATGAACTGTTCAATGAGGTTAGTAGGGCTAATTTTAATACTTAACTGGCTCGCAAGTATGCATGAAAAGGGTCTGNTTTCGGGTTCCTCATTTTTAACAAACCGGTCATTAGATCTATAAGATATTGGTACTTTCCACACTCCTATACTCACCGGCACAAAATAGGGCACCGGCACAAAATAGTGTTGCGTTTAGATACTGGTTAGTCCATGTACCCAAGTACCATACAAGGTCGACGCCTTTCTCGTATCCGGACACAGGCACTGGGCCCGAATTTAGGTATGAGTACTTCAGGTGTGAGTACTCGTGCACTCCAGTGCTCGGGCGCCAAGAGGGAACATAGCCAAGTAAAGTGCACGTGGCAATTGAACTTCGTGTCGTACAATTGTGGTCTGAAATCAAACTTGTGATTTCCAAATCGAACGAGCACGCAGCGATAACTGTCAAATTCTTTTGTATGCATTTAAATAAGCCTCACTTATTTCAAATTCGTTTGAATTATGAACTGTTCAATGAGGTTAGTAGGGCTAATTTTAATACTTAACTGGCTCGCAAGTATGCATGAAAAGGGTCTGTACGCGATATTTTTTTCAATCCCAAAACTGTAACTTCTTTGAAAAGGGCGTATTTATTTCTTGGAATTGACACATTATTTACAACACTAACTTTACTTACAATACTAACTGCACTTAAAATAGAGACAATGCACACAAAACCTTAACGTAACATTACTTGCACTACAATTAAGTCTTTGAAAACGCGGCATATTTTATCACAAAAAGATTATGTAATCATGATCACGTCTCCTTCTAGAGAACAGTCTATTGACTTGGTTGCAAAGGGCTGTAAAGCAAAACTGACAAAAGCTTATTCAAATTTGAGCTTTCAGTTCAAGTTGAAATTAATACCGACGAGGACTCCGAGGAAATTCATCCCAAATGGGTCTGGTCGGCATACAAACGACTTCTTTATCGAGTCCGCAAAGCAGTCAGCAGACTTGTACGTAAACAGCTTTATACATTAAATCATGTGATGCCTGAACGAGCAAAGGGGTATAAGTCTAAACATCAAGCCCGAGCAACAAAAACTTCGATTAAATTGATGCAAGAAACATAAGAATATCTCTAAGACAAACATAAAGCTATCTGGAAGTAAAGCTACAGCAGTCTCTGACTCGCAAGGCCGGGCAAGGATGAATATGATTTCCGTGATCTTGATGCAAACATACTGTGCAGTGCTTGTTACAGCCGCGCCCGGCGTCACAACGCGAGTAAGAATCCTGTTTTTGGAATATTTTAAACTGTCTCTCCATTGCTCATATAAGAGAGCTTAAAACATATCTTCCGATACAAAAATTACACAGGCGCCAAACGCTACAAAGCGAGAAATATAAACAGCGAAAACTTTGCAGACGTATGACTTGCAATAGCACAACAAACTATTGTAATCCACTTAAAATTCCTCCCGATAATACAGCAAAAAGAGCGCCAGAGAGAAAAACACGAGAGGCAAAGAAAGGCCAAGGACCGTAAATCAAAAAAACAAACTGCAATGATACATAATCAGAATAGATAAGCAGAATATGAGGGCAAATAAAATAATACTGTTCTCATAGTTTCGGTTTACTAAATGCCTAAGATGAGTTTGTCATTACTCGCACTCATTCTAGAAGCGAAATCCCCTCAAAGCACATAGATATGTAATTTTAATTGCATCAGGGTTCTAGTCATATACACTCTTTACCACTGCTTGTTGGAGTTACAAGATGTAAATATACATTGTGAGTTTTTAGGAGCTCATAAATGGTTTTTAGTGGTTATTGTTTCAGTCATATAAGTGGAACGTTATAGTTGGCACTGTAGGTCATTCTATGTTTTTTCCCTTAAAAAAAAGAAAACTCTAATGTAGTTGAAGACTCTTGGATTTTGAATTTTCTCGGATATGTCTAAGATCGAAAACTGAGCATTGTCAAGTACACTTTTCGTGGAGTCTTCGTCACCGTTTTGCATTCACGCAGTCATGTTATTCTTGACCGTCGTTAGCGTGCTGTTTCTCGATGACAACATTCCCCATGTTGGTTCCCTTGTGGCTTATGCACCCGGCGGTTTTCCCAAAGTTGAACTGCGTGCCGGTGTTATTCTGTTGCGTGCTGACGGCGTCATTCCCTGAGTCGGTTTCGTTTTCTTCAGCACAGACGGCATCGACAGCGTTGTCATGCGAGCCATTACTGTCTTGTTGAGCTATGAGAACGTTTCCAGTGTTAGTTCCCGTATGGCCAATGCACCCAAAGATTTCCCCAAAACTATACTGCGCGCTGCTAGAGCGATGAGTGGCAGTGGTGCTGTCAGTGGTGTACTGTGGTGAGTGATTGTGTTGAAAGCCAAAGCCAACATTCCCCACATTGGTCCCTTGTTGACCAACGCTGCCAGCGGTGCTGCCAAAGCAGAACTGCTGGACGTTGTCGACTTCACTGCCAACAGCAAGATTCTCCTTGTTGATTCCTTGTTGACAAACGTTGCCAGTGACGTCACTTAAGGTGTTCTCGTGACCTTCATTGCCTTGATCGCCAACAACAACATTCCCCATGTTGATTCCTAGTTGACCAACGTTTCCAGCGGTGCTGCCAAAGTAGAACTGATGAGCGCTATCGACTTCCTTGTCGACAACAGCATTTCCCGTGTGGATTCCTTTTTGGCCATCGTTGCTAGCAGTTTTACTAAAGGTGTTTTCTTGACCTTCATCGCCTTGATCGCCGTCAAAAACATTCTCCATGTTGATTCCTTTTTGGCCAATGGCGGGAGCAGTGTTACCAAAGGTGTTCTCTTGATCGTCATTGCCTTGATCGCAGAAGGAACAACATTTCATATTCCCCATGTTGATTCCCACTTGACCAACGCTTCCACCGGTGCTGCCAAAGCAGAACTGCTCGCGGCTATCGATTTCCTCGCCAACAACAACATTCCCCTCGTTGATTCCTTGTTGGCTAACGGTGGCAGCAGTGTTACCAAAGGTGTTCTCTTGACGGTCATTGACTTGATCGCAGACAAGGATATTCCCTATGTTGATTCCTTGTTGGCCAACGGTGGCAGCAGTGTTACCAAAGGTGTTCTCTTGACCGT